TGCTTCAGGGATTGCAGTGATTTCATGGACAAGTGTAAATAGTTACAGTAGAGTTGCTATATATGGATTTCCTCTGCTGTTTCCAGTTATTACAGATTATTTGTACTTTCCGAAGAATCTCAATCTTTTGCATTGGCATGGAAGAATGTTTCCTTAACTCTCTGGCATTTCTGACCAATAGTCAGGTTGCATGGAGTACCATGAAATGTTTTGTATACTGTTAGCCTAATGTATGGTCTAAAGCAGTACTTTACATGTGATCCTTGAAAGAACCTGGTACTAATGTAGTTTTTCAAATACTGTTCTTGGCTATCCGCCAGTTTATTCTTGATTGTATTGGTGTCTTGAAGGAAGGTGGTGGCTGATAATACTTGAACGTTTTTCAGAATATACTGCTCTGAGAAGTCAGGTTACAGAGGTATAAACCAAATCAGCACTAAAATTACCAAGTATTTGGAGCACAAAAAAGGAATTTGCAAACATATTCCTTAGACAACAAAATAAAGCTGATCAAATAAGTCAAGGAAATCATTGACCTACATTCAATTCATGCAGTAGAGTTTTTGAGCAATATAGTCTGTGAGATAAGTATGTGGTCAGAATTGCCTCGAAATTTCTGTTTTGAATTGAAATATTAGTTGCAAAACTGGGTATTGTTCTCTTTCCTGTGTTCAGTGGTAAGAGCTTTTAGTCATTTTGTGTGTGGACAAACTTCCATCAGTTTGTCTCAGTTTGATTTGAACCATCCCAAAGCAGTGCTTACTCCCTCCCCCTGGGCTCGTAGGGTAATGCAAAAAGAGTTTTACCAGTTTTAGTCTTGAGTTTAAAAACATAGACTGTGCTGTGTTGTCATAACATAACTTCTGAAAACTATTTTCCAGAATGCTGGAGCAGTGATTGGAAAAGGTGGCAAAAATATTAAAGCGCTTCGTACAGACGTGAGTATATATGAGTTTGAACTAATTTAACACCAATTCTTTCAGAGCACTACATCGAAAACTTGATTGCGTTGCATTTCTAGAGATGGGAGCGATTCAACTCTATAGACATCAATAGTCTAGTTACAATGCAATACTAGTTGTATTGGTTGTTAGAGTAGTTAACTTAGTTCTTCAATTTCTATTGTAATTAAAACCCAGCTTAATTTGTTCGAGGAGAGATTTGTATTAAATCTCTTCACTTTTTAATAGGATTCTGCTAAATTACACTCTTCAAGTGAGTTAACAGCCTAATTAAAAGTATTGACAAAGCTTAAACCCCTTAATAGTACCATTTCCCATATGTGTCAATCAATGACAGTACTGCTGAAACCATTGCAGGTGGCTGGCTTAACCCAGTGATAGAGGAATTCTTTAACTTCCTTCAAAAAAGCGAAATGAAATCATCCATCTGTTCCTTAGCAGCTTGCAGATGAAGCACAGAGGCATTAATGTTAGGGCTTCTTGATTTTAACGGGTATAGAACACCAAAGGAACATTTTATTCTGTTACTTGGAAGTATTTTAAATGGCCATGACTTACTGTCCATTCACATTTTACAGTGAGTTGACTCTCGTGATTAGACACATGCTCAGTATTAATGTTCCTTATTTATAAAACTTGGCAACGCTTCTTAATTCCATTTGTTTATACTCCTGTACTTAACATCAGCTACAATTTCAACAGTTTTTCCAGTCAAGACTCTGTTCAATGAAAGATTTAGCAATACATCATTACAAATCAGTTCCAACTAAGTTCATAAACTACCACAACTAGGATTGAGGTTTTAGTTGAAATGACCAGGAATCATACATATACTCACTGACTTCAGCAGCTAGTTGTTCTTTCTTTTTTTATCCTTTATTTTTTAGGGTTTTTTGTGGTTTTGGTTTTTTTTTTGGTTTTTTTTTTTTTTTTGAGTAAATCAGTAGGTCACCTCAGTCCAGATAGTTTAGATTGGTCTGGAACACAGACTTTCCCGATTTGCCCAAGGTTCTAGTGCTATCAGTCTCGACAGGTTTTATGTCTACCCTCATGAGCCAGCCTGCTACTGAAACATCATTATGTTCACAGTAAGAAGTAGTTCAGTCAGATCAAGAGACTCATTTTTAAGGTCCATACTGTTAAGCCACAGTTGGTGTAGCAATCCGTTATTGTGTTAGTCTTCAGAACAACTTAAGCTTGTTTCATTAATTGAGAGTAATGAGTATAGTTTGTATTAAATTAAAATTTATTGCTTTTCCCCCTTTTCCCTCTCCTTGTTTTTTTGGCCATATATCTCCGTTGCCCATGTACTGGATCGACTTGCCCCTGCGTTGCCCACCATGACGTTGGCCCATCCGCCCCCGAACGCCCATGTGAAAACCCTGGTTGGCTATGCCCAAAAATGTGCTCGTTGCCAAACGGGTACCATACTTGACAACTTCCGATTGAATGCCCATGCCCAATGCCAACATCCACGAACGCCAATGACCAATGCAGTACAATGCCAGTGTTTCAGTCCCAGACAGCAGTGGCCCCGAGCGGTATGTCCCAACAGTTTATGCCTCACTGCCTGATTAGAAAGAGAGAAATGTATTTTATTACCTGCCTTTGATATAATTAAATAGTATCCCCTTATAGACGGTGTATTGTTTTTTTTCAAGTTTTCTGTCTTATTTTCCCCATTAAGTCTTTTTGTCACTGAACTTTTACGTGAGTTGCCCACCCAAACAATCCACTAATTTTATTTCAATGGAAGGAGCACAGCTTCAAGTGTTGCATATTTGCTGCATTGTAAATCAAATTGTTTCAAAATAGTCTCTCGCTCTGTCTTTGTGGCCCACCTTGCTCCCCTCAACATTGCCTGTTCATAATTACTTCCGATGAAATGCTAACTCCAGTTCGCTTTCCTTCACTTCTCATTTGTTTTGTCTTTTTTTTGTCTTGCATTTGTATTTGTTTTCTTGGAGAGCCCATTAGAATCTGATTTCTAACTGGTTCCATAACCTTATTCCAGATACGATGTTCACCACTTGCATATCCTCACTTTTAATATGAGAAGGTGTGCCAGTTCTACCGATGTAATAGCGAGGGTATCCGAATTAGTGGTGGCGGGGAACATGAATATTCACTTCTACTTTCAGTTCTGCGTCAATTTCTTGCCCACTTAATCTGAGCCCTTCCAAAAGCCCATTCTGTCTTTCTCTCTGCAAGACCTGCCTAATCTTAAATTTCTCATGCATATATGCTGGGCATAAACAAAGATGCATGTGTTTATAAATTGAGCAAACAGGTTTACTTTAAATGGGGAATATTAATTGTAAGCTCTTCTCTGTACTAAATCTTGCTAGAATTTTTGTGTGGGATGAAAAAAATTTACTTCTGCTTTTTCTTTTCTACCTTCTACAATTCAATTGGAGAAATCTTGAAGAAGATTATCCCTACTTTAGAAGAGGTATGTATCTTAATAGTTTGGGTTTTTACAGGTAAGAGCTTAGCTTTTGAACGAGATGGGTCTAGATGATTTGGTGCTTTTTAAATACAGGAAATGAGAAAAATAAATCCCAGAAGCCTTTTAAAGAAGGCTTATGGCTTTAAAACTATATGCTGGCATGTTTTTTGGTAGAGGTCACTATTATCCCTACTTTAGAAGAGGTATGTATCTTAATAGTTTGGGTTTTTACAGGTAAGAGCTTAGCTTTTGAACGAGATGGGTCTAGATGATTTGGTGCTTTTTAAATACAGGAAATGAGAAAAATAAATCCCAGAAGCCTTTTAAAGAAGGCTTATGGCTTTAAAACTATATGCTGGCATGTTTTTTGGTAGAGGTCACTGATTGTTAACATTTGTAACAGCCTTCCCCCTTGCAAAATAGTAAGTCTTGTGCTGTTTGATACCTTGTTAAATATTTGTAGCAAGTTGTGCAATGTAAGTTCACAAATAGAGAAAACAGATCCCCTCAGGTTGAGGTGCTTAAGTAGTTGTTCCTATCAAAGGAAATGCTGATTGACAATTCACCAATAAATCAAGTCATACCATGGTGTTTGAAGAAAAAAAATCATGCATTTTTAACTTTTGTATGAATAATATTTTGTTCTTTTCCTTACATGCTTCTTTTTTCCAGTATCAACACTACAAAGGGAGCGACTTCGACTGCGAGTTGAGACTTCTCATTCACCAGAGTTTGGCAGGAGGCATTATTGGTGTCAAGGGTGCTAAGATTAAAGAACTCAGAGAGGTACTTGCTTCTTGTTCTTCTGAGATTTGCTTTTTGTTCAATAAACAGTTTTCTATTCATAAGGTGCAAGTGTATGTATCTTCTGCGCAGAATATGCTGCATATGTGCTCTTGGTATTCTGAGATGGAGCTGTAAGAAAGTTACAACTTTCTTACAGACCCCTAGCAGTAATGTTGTTGGTGACAGAAGCTAGGACTTGATTAAACAGTATTTGTGGTACTGTTTTGAGAGAATGGATTTTTACTTCATTCTGTTAAAATTATGTTCATCACTCTAGAATGAACTACTCCCTAGTCTAGAATTATTTGTGTGGTTGGGCATGTAAAATGGTCCAGGGTGAATTAGATCTGTTACTGTAAAAGGGCTTTATTTTTGGTTATGTATTTTTTAATTCTAACTCTTATAAGACCATGTTTTCCTTTCAGTGAAGGAATAAGATTGAAAAAAATTTAATGGTCTCTATGAGCTGAAAACACCTGTTTTTCTTTCTTGACATTGTGTCAGAGTTAATTTTGGGTCAGTTAAGGTATAAGCTGAACTATACCTCTTTGCTTGGGTAGAGAAAGGCAAGATAATTCTAGCAGCAGTGTTATCTTAGCATCCAAAGCGTGCAAGTTTCAGCTGAAGGTTAATACAACCTGGAAGCTCACGCTAGCTGTGTGGTCCTTTTTTATAATATTTATTTAAATGATGGTGTAGATATGCCATAATTTAAATAGGAGAAAATTGAACATTTTCATATTCATACAAAACTTATGTCAGCACAGATCTTTAAAAAGATCTCATTTTCAGATTTGTTGTGGTAACTCAGAAGTGACTGGGAATTCAGTTGTCTTTTGATTTATTTTTTTTTTTGTTTCAAAATGTTTTAATGGGATTTTAAAGTTGTTTAAAATATAATCAAGAATCATGGGTATTTTCTTCTACAGAATACTCAAACCACCATTAAGCTCTTCCAGGAGTGTTGTCCTCATTCTACTGACAGAGTGGTGCTTATTGGTGGTAAACCTGATAGAGTTGTTGAATGTATCAAGATTATCTTGGATCTTATCTCTGAGGTAATGTTTATTAAATTTCTTTTATTCTTCCATTGACAGTCATGAATGTTAGATATCATGTGGATGGAAAACAGTGTCTGGTTTTGGTTCAGTAGCTCCTACTTTCTCAATATCAATGTGATATTATAAACTTTTGAAACTGTTTCCATCATCTAGAATGGGGTGCACCTTACAGGGGAGGAATGCAGTTGTTGGTACTGGTGGGCCATTATTCATACTTTGCATTTCATTAAAGTGCAAAAACTGAAGAGGAGGACAATTTATTTTCCATGGATAAGTAACAGTAATTCCTCTGTCATAGTTAAGTTCTCAGGAAACACATCAACATCTCCTTTCTTACCAGCATTGTGAAATGAAAAATGTGTTCCAAGTGCATAAATTCGTATTTACATATTTACTGTATTAATTTAGTTAAATTTGTCAATGGTAATAGTCCTAATTGGGTTGGGGGCATTGTTGTTTTGTTTGCATTAGTCTCCAATTAAAGGACGGGCCCAGCCGTACGATCCCAATTTCTACGATGAAACATATGACTACGGTGGCTTCACAATGATGTTTGATGACAGAAGGGGACGTCCAGTAGGCTTCCCGATGCGTGGAAGGGGAGGTTTTGATCGCATGCCCCCTGGTCGTGGCGGGCGGCCTATGCCTCCCTCAAGAAGAGATTATGATGATATGAGCCCTCGCAGAGGACCTCCACCACCTCCACCTGGTCGTGGTGGGAGAGGTGGCAGCAGAGCCCGTAATCTTCCTCTTCCTCCACCACCACCTCCTCGTGGCGGGTGAGTTGTTGCATAAGTGCGTTGTACTAAGCTTCATATATATTCTTCTGAATCATATTTGTCTTTCCAGTGTTTCTCCTGTGTTTTTATGTTGGTAGTGATTATGCAGGATTGAGCATGTATTAGACCAGAGTATTTTGAAAACACTAGAATTTAATTACTTGCTGCACTGTAGTAATTTGCCAGGACTATAGTGAGTAGTGTGAGAGTTTTGTCATTCAGTGCTTGGCTAGAGTGGATTGATATGAAGTTGTATGTGAACATTTAAATTAAACCAAACAAACTAATTCATAACACAATTAACATGCTGCTCCTTTTTTCATTTTAGAGATCTGATGTCCTATGACCGAAGAGGCAGACCAGGAGACCGTTACGATGGCATGGTAGGATTTTAAAATTTGCCTTGTTCTGCTCTGTAAGCATAATTAGCATGCTGACCCTCTGATACCCCATGAACACATGCATATGAGTCTGCGACATGCATGGTTCTGATGGTAAAACCAAAATGCTTTGTCTGTGCAAATGGTCTTTCTGCAGTAGAGGAATGCTTGGGGTGTAAGTGGTAACCCAAGACAGGACCTGTTTTCTTTCTTTCCACTCTGCCATCAAAATGACACAAAGTTTGACTGTGCTCAACCCTGCAGGTATTTTTGCACTGGCCAGCTTTCAGATTTTTTAATCAGGATGACAGAAATGGGAATTGGTAGATTTTTCAGATAAAGAAAACATGTCAGAACAAGCTTCTCAGAAATTCTCTGAGTTATACAAGCATTCTTAACACTAAGTCCTGGAAAACAAAAGCAGAGATACAGTAATGCAGATTAGAGAATAGTATCTAAGAAGATCTCTAGTTTATCTGGAAAGTGTTTGTGCTTTTGAATCAATTCTTGTCTATTTTCTGGCCTCTCTGCAGAAAATCCACTGTAATTCCAAATGTTTTGGAGGCAGGGCCACTGCTAAGTTGAATCCTAAGTCAAAACTTGCTGAGAGAAAAAAAATCTCTCACAGCATAAGGAAGCTTCAAATAAAGGCTTAAAGATCGTCTTCCATGTTGCATTCTGAACTGTGACTTCCCATTAGTCATTTGCTCTTGTGCTAGATTCTTCTTTCCTGAGAAGAAAAACCAGGAGGTTGTCCTGGTTTCATCTGGACAGAGTTACTTTATTCTCGTCAGTAGCTGGTACAGTGCTGTATTTTTAATTCAGCATGAGCATAATTGTGATTATACACTGATACTTAGGCTGTCCCTAAGTAGTGTTTAGTCTAAGTCAAGAACTTGTTCAGCTTCCTGCGCTCTACCAGCGATTAAGTACACAAAAAGCTGGGAGGGAGCGCAGTCAGGACAGGTCACCCAAACTGGCCAAAAAGGTATATTCCAAATTTTTTTGGAATATACCAAAGCATGGGATGCCCAGTATATAATATAAACTGGGGGAGTTACCCAGAAGGAAGGCTGACTGGGGCTTTGGGATGGGGCCTGACATTGGTCAGCAGGTGGTGAGCAACTGTATTGTGCATCACTTGTGTTTTCTTGTGTCGTCTTTTTTAAAAAAATTATTCACTATTATTATTATCATCTTTGTTTCAGTTACTAAACCCTTCTTATCTTAACGTACAGATTTTATTTTTGATTCTCCTCCTCATTCCATGGGGATGGGGGTTGGGTGTGGGGGCGTTTTGAGTGAGCAGCTGCATGGTGATTAGTTCCCAGCTGGGTTTAAACCACAGCAGAGGATAATCTATATAGTAGCCACCTTCTTTTCTCCTCTGGCTTTGTTTGGCACCTTCTTTAAGATGACACAAGGTGAACTTTTCATTTAAGTGAATGTAAGAGAGACAAGTGGAGAAGAGCTATGAAATGGGCTTTGCATATGTCCCCTTTGGGAGTAAGGGTTACTGGAACTACAAATGGCAAAAACGTCATGTGCGTGCTAGAATTAATACAAGGAATAGTTTGCATAAAGTTACAAAAGAGAAAGTGTTGCACATGCTACTCTACATGTTAAGAAACTGGAAGAAATGAGAAGTGCCCCTCCAAGATTGTGTATTTGTATTTATATGTTTTCAGAGCTCAGGTTTTGTGTTCTTCTGTTTGCAGCTCATAAAGCCAGTGCTACAGTATATAAAGTGAGCAGCCGGCCCTTCTTTGGATGTCTAGTTGAGCACAATCTTAGCTTGACTCTTGGGCAGTAGTGTGTTCTATTTTTATCCCATTCCGGCTGGAATAGAAAATCCATTTTGACTTGCGTTTAGCCTGTCAGGTTGACCTTCACATTCGTGACATGAGTCTCTACAAGAGAGTAATTTCTCTTGGGTTTGTAACTTTGTTTTGTTCAAAAAAGGCAGTTTTGTTTCCTTTTCATAGTGAAGCTGCTCATGACTTTGTCACCTTTATGACCAAGTATCACGACCTGCTTAAAGTGAGGACTTCTTTGCAGTATTTAATCTTTAGTTTTATTTAGTCATGATCATAGTATCCTAAATTGTGTAAACAGAAAGGAAGTCTTCACATGGATTGTGAAGCTGCAGCCGAAAATGTCATGCCAGAAATCTAAGGTCTTCTGAGCTAATCTTCATTTTATACAGAAACTGTTCTCTGGCTAAAGATGTACACTAGAATAAACCAATGTCATTGTGGTTTGTGATCTAAGTAATGATGGGAAGAGCTGTTCTTAGAGAACAGAAGTGCTCTTACCACATGGATTCTATTTTACATGGAGCAGTGAAAGGCAAGAATAGATGAACATCTCAAAAGTACTGGAAAACTTTAATGTACAGAATTAATTTTTTTTGCAGTTCTCCTTTCCACTAAAGGCAGAAAGATTGAGTAGTTGAGGACCTTTAAGACTGAACGCTGAACTCTGAATTTTCCGGAATTCCAGAGATACAGCAGTATTGACAGCATTGTAAATGCTGAGATGAGAGTCTTTTTGAACACCCTCATTCTCCAGGGTCTTTCAGATACATGAATGCACTGAGATACTCGTGGGAGGGATGGAAATAAAATGACTTCATGAGCATCCACTTTATTTAAGTTTAGGTACTAAGATGTTCAAAGTGCTAAAAGTTTTAAAATCTGAGTTGATGTAACTCAGAATGTCTCTTGTTAAGTGGACTGTCTCTTCATACTTTCCTGAGTGTCTTCAGGCTTGCAATGTGCCTCTTAGTTCTTGATATTTTTAAACTTAATGTGTGTGTCTTGATGTAAAAACACTTGAATAAAGGCTCATACATTTCAAAAAATATGAAACATTCTCCAGGTGTGAGATGTGACATTAACAGGCATGTAAAAAGTGAGTAAAGGAAGAATGTATGACAGCTGTGCTATTTATTCGTGCTGGAAGAAAGTAACAGAGTTTTACTTGGTCACTCTTAAAAACCAGAAGATTGCGATAAAAGAATTTGACATGAGTTAGCACTACATACTTTTCTTTATTAGATGTAAAACTTAAGCTCTTTGCCTGAACTAGCCTGTGTCATCTGGTTTCTACTCTAGGACCAGCAGTGACTAGCACAAGTGAGTGTAGTATAGGATATTGTGTTACGTGTATTAAGAACCCTGTTTCAGAAACTTGTTTTAGGTTGCACAAATGAATATCAGTTGCCAAAATTGTAAGATTCCAGAAGAAAGAAATGCTATGTAAGTTTTTAAAACATAATCAAAGTTCTAATATTAAGTTAGGCAGCAGTAGATTGTTAGTCCGCTTACTGGCTATATGAGATACATGGAAATGAATTGATAGAACATGAGAAGCAGTGTCCTTCCTGCTGGACCTGCTGTTACATAATCAGTGACAGTTACTTTTTTCAGGCTAATTGAACTTTTATTTTCTAACAGATGGCAAAAATAGAAGATTTTTCTAGTGCATGGCAGAGATGAAGTATTTTTATATGTAATAGCACTCGAAGGTTTTCTAAAAAGGAAGAAAAAGAAGGCTTGCTCAAGCTTTGCCTTGCCATTAGTTGTCTGACCTTTGTTAGAGGAAAAATGTGTTAATACCACAGAAAGAGGGGGAAAACATGAGTGCGATCACATACAGTTCCCTCAAAGTGAAATTAAAAGTCAGTGAGTCTTGAAAATGGTCTGAATCACATAATTTAAGTCTTTGCTGAATCATAAAGGTTCCTCTGTACTAGTATGTATTGTGTTTGCTGAGGTATCTGAAAGTCTGTTTGACCTGGACTTACTTTCTTCCCTCTTTTCTGTTACGTCTGGAAGATGATGCAGTGTCATGTGGATGCCTGTGATGACATGCAGCCACCAGAGCTGGTAAGTGTGTTCAGCCTGTTTTTTTGAAAACTTAAGCAAGTTAAGTGATAAAGCAAATTTCTTAAGAGATCTTGAGTGTAGTCCGTGGCAGCTTGCACCTATTGAAAATCATAAAAGTCCTTCTGACTCAGAATTTATCAAGTCTTAACAGTGTGCCCTTTGAAGGCAGGTAATGTTAAAAGAAATGTGGAATTATGCAGCAGCATAGTGAAAAGAGAGGAGCTTTTCTGTACCTCTTTTTGCTTCTTTTACACAGTATTTTTTGTAAATAGTAACTTTGCCATAACTGATGCACTGTAGATGCCTGCGTTACATATATTTTGTCTTAATTTCATAATGTTACAGGGTTTTTGTTTAAAAAATCAAATAGTAAACCTAGCTTCTTCTATTTGTGGATATACTTTTAGGCTTTACTTATCAATGTATTTGAAGCTACAGTGTCTGGTTGGGTAGGTTTTGGGAAGGGAAGTTATCATGGACTCACAGAATGGTTTGGGTTAGAAGAGATGTTAAAGATCATCTTGTTCCAACCCCTTGTTGTGGGCAGAGAACCTTCCACTAGACCAGTTTGCTCAGGGTCCCATCCAACCTGGCCTTCAACACTTCAAGGAATTGGGCATCCGCAGTTTCTCTGGGCAACCTGTTCCAGTGCTTAGCACCCTCACAGTAAAGATTTCTTCCTAATATCTAAACTTAACCTGCCTTCTTTTAGTTTAAAACCATTGCCTCTTCTCCTTCCTCTACATTTCCTCATAAAAAGTCTGTCCAGCCTTCTTGTAGGCTTCCTTCAGGTGCTAGAAGTCAACAATAAGATAATCCTGGAGCCTTCTCTTGTCCAGACTGAACAACCCCAAATCTCTCAGGCTTTCCTTACAAGAGAGGTGCTCCAGTCCTCTAATAATCTTTGTGGCTCTCCTCTATACTTGCTGCAGTAGGTCCATGCCCTTACACTGAGGGCCCCAGAACTGCACACAGTACTCCAGGTGGGGCCTCACAGGAGCAGAGTAGAGAGACAAAATGACCTCCCTCGACCTGCTGGTCACACTGCTTTTGATGCAGCCCAGGATACAGTTGGCATTCTGGATTTCAAGTGCACATTGCCAGCTCATGTCCAGCCTCTCATCTACCAGCACCCCTGAGTCCTTCTTGGCAGTACTGCTGTTGATCTGTTCATTCTCCAGCCTGTATTAACACCAAGGGTTGTCCTGACTCAGGTGCAGCACCTTGCACTTGGCCTTATTAAACTGCATGAGATTCTCATGGGCTCAGTTCTTGAGCTTGTCCGGCTCCCTCTGGGTGACAGTGTGTCAACCACACCACTTAGTCAGTCTGTTGTCATCTCTCTACAGATTTGCAAAGGGTACACTTGATCCCTTTGTGGCATTGATGAAGACATTTAGTAGCACTGGTCCCTATACCAGCCCCTGAGGGACACCACTTAATGTCCATCAGAACCCTGAGCCATTGACCACTACCCTCTGGATGCAGCCGTCCAACCAGTTCATCAAACAGTCTGCCCATCAAATCCCGCTCTTTTCAATTTAGAGAGAGGAAGGACCTTGTCAAAGGCCTTACAGAAGTCCAGGAAGGTGCCATTCATAGCCCTTCTCTTGTTCACTGGTTTAGTCACGCCATTGTAGAAGTTAGAGTAGATTGGGTGTTCATGCTGTCTAGAAGATGGCAAAATGCTGCCAAATTAATGTTTTTAATTAATTGATCTGAAACCTCAGTTCATAGCTTACGTAAACTCAGCATCCGCTATCAAGTTCTGCTGTTCTGTAGTCTGGGAAGGCAGAAATCACAGAGTCATCAAGATTGGACGAGACCTCTATGGTCATCAGGTCCAACTATTAACCTGCCACTGTGCTGTAACCCCTAAAACCGTAAACCATATCCTCCAGTGCCTGATCCAGAAGCCTCTTAAACACTTCCAGAGATGGAGACTCCACCACCTTCCTGGGCAGTCTATTCCAGTGCCTGACCACCCTAACAGGAGAAAATTTTTTCCTAACATATAGTCTGAATCTCCTCTGTCTCACTCAGTTTATGGCCACTCCTAGTCCTCTCAATGCAGGTGTGGCAGGAGAGACTATCCCTCACCTTTCTACAACCCCCTTTCAGGGAGTTGTAGAGAGCAGTGAGGTCACCCCTGAGCTGCTTCTTCTGAAGGCTGAACAAACCTAATTGTCTCAGCCATTCCTAATATGACAAGTTTTCCAGACCTTTTCTGAGCTTCATTGCCCTCCACTGGACTTGGTCTGGCGCCTCAATGTCCTTTTTCACTGAGGTCACCCCTGAGCTGCTTCTTCTGAAGGCTGAACAAACCTAATTGTCTCAGCCATTCCTAATATGACAAGTTTTCCAGACCTTTTCTGAGCTTCATTGCCCTCCACTGGACTTGGTCTGGCGCCTCAATGTCCTTTTTCACGTGAGGAGCCCAAAACTGAACACAGTACTCGAGGTGTGACCTCACCAATGTTGAGTACAGGCAATGATCACTTCCCTAGTCCTGCTAGCCACACTGTACTTGATACAGGCCAAGAAGGCAAATAGCATCACCCGTGCACACTGCCGGGTCATATTAAGCCTGCTGTCAGCCAGCACTCTCAAGTCCTTTTCTGTTGAAAGCTGCATGGGGTGGTTGTGTCCCAAGTACTTAGCCCTATTCAGCTTCATGCAGTTGTCCTCAGCCCATCGATAAGTCTGTCCAGGTCTCTCTGTAGAGCTTTCCTATCCTCAGGCAGATCAGCACTCCCACCCAACAACTCTCTGGGCCCAGCTATCCAGCCAGGTTTCTACCCACTGAAGGGTCCACCCATCCAAGCCACGAACAGCCAGTTTTTCTAGCAGCATGCTATGGGAGATAGTGTCAGACACCTTACTGAAATCCAGATACACCACGTCCACAGCCTTCCCTTCATCTACTAAGCAGGTCACTTTGTCACAGAAAGGATTTTTCTTTAGAACAATTAGTCTAAAAGGGGATCCTGTGGTGAATACCAACAGGAATGTCTGTGTGTATGCAGTATGCTGCTGCGATCAGCCGTAAGCAGAGTCCTTCATTCTCTTCTATTTTGGACCCTACTACAAGCAGTATTACATTCTATTACAATCTGTATTGTCTAGTAATGTGATTAGACAGTACTAGTTGCTTGGAGACAGAGAGTAATAAGCTCAACGTCTTGATCCGAGTAGCTTCCACTTTGATTTAAAAAGGTAGACAGTAAATAATATTTTGGGGAAAGTTACATGGTAACTTCTATGGACAAGAAGTTGTGGTTGGTTGAATTTGACTGGCTGCCAGAAGCTAACCCAGCTGACTCTCTTACTCCCTTTACTCAGCAGGTTGAGTGGAGAAAGTAAAGCACAGAAGTCTGTGGCTTGCAGTAAAGACATCAAGAAAACCAAGTAGTTAACACTAACAGCAAAACAGAGTAGACTTGAGAAACGTTTACTGCCACTTTGAGTAGCACTGGTGAAAAACAAAACTAAAAGCACCTTTGCCCTACTATTCACCTCTTCTCAGGCTCAACTTCACTTGTTCATTCTGTACTCTTCTACTTCTGCCAAGAATGGGCAAGGGGGTTAGGGAGTGGTGGATTGAAAGTCAGTTCATCACACTTGTCTGTGTTCTGTGCTTCTCACACTATTCCGCTGCTCCAGTGTAGGGTCACTCCCATGGGATACCGTCATTCTTAAACTGCCCAAATATGTCTGTTTCCAGTAGACTGCAGTTTCTCAAGAACTGTTGCAGTGTAGGTCCCCTTCATGGGGTAGAGTCCTTCAGGAGCAGGCTGATTCAATGTGGGTCCCTTGCAGGTCCTGCCAGACACCTGCACCTGCATGAGCTCTCACAAACTGCAGCTTTCTTCAGAGTGTATCTACATGCTCCTAGCGTAGAAACCTCCATGGGCTACACTGTGGCTATCTGCTCCAGTGTGGTTCTTTACATGAGCTGCAGAACAATCTCCATTCCAGTGCCTGGAGTAGCACTTCCCCTTCCTTCACTGTGGTGTGTATGCAGGGCAGTTTTGCTCACTTTTTTCCTCCTTGTTCACCTCTCACAGTCACTGGACACTGGGTTTTTGTGGGGTATTTGTACTATTGCTTAAATGTTACTGTTGAGGTGCCACCAGCTTTGCCAGTGGTTTCAGCTTTAGGAAGGAGTGGGTGGGTCCATTTTGATGCTGGCTACAACTGACCGGCTTCCGCAGTGATGGAGAGACGGGAGGCAGCTTGATGCAAGCAACATGTCCGTTTATTGTTGTTTTCAACAAATACTTACAGTTTTCTTGGCTTAGCGTGTTCTCTGCCGATTGGCTTATTCTATACATTAGGTGTGCACCAATTGGTTAACCTAAGGCACAACAATCTGTTACATGTCTTCTACCCCAGCAACATCCCAGCAACTTCCTAACTCGTGACTGGTGAGCCAGCACGCAGCCACTTTCTGTTCAAGGTTCCCATCTCCACGCCTACTCCTCCCAAGGCCTTTGGGCACCAAGTCCTAACACATCCCCTGACTAGCCCAGACATGCTGGAGCCTTGCTGAGAGCAGCCAGGCCAATCCCCACAGCTTCGGCATAAATGCAGTCCCTGGTCTCCTGACAGGAGTCAGTCAAGAGAGCCCTGCGTGTTTATTCTCTGCATCTGCAGGAAAGTATGAATACAGGGTCTTGTGCACTTAGAATGCATTAGAAGAAGTGAAGCACTTCATGTCAAATGCAAGTCTACCAATGCTAAAAATAAAAAGGGGTCAGGAATGCTCATTGCAGTGATTTGCATTTGGTATATGGTGGTGTAAATGGAACAGAAGTAACTCATCATGATTATCTGTTCAAAGGTGTAAAGGATTGTAGCATAGTTGGAATCAAGAGACAAGTTATAGAGCTATTCTTAAGAGCTTTGTTGGTTTTTTTTCCCTAGAAGTCGTACATAGAGTAGGAGGAATCACAGTCGTTGGGTAAACTTGCTGTCGCAGAACTAGAGTCTTTCCTGAGCTGTGTTGGTAGCATTAATAAGGCTGCACTCTGATCTTTCAATTTGAATGTTTGTTTAGTCCGGGGGTCAGGAGTAGGTCAGCATTAAGAGTTGCCTGCAGAAGCTGAGTCAGTGAGTCTGCTTGGTAAACTGGCATGGCTGAATCCTTTGTCATTTTATGCTTTACTCTTAGAAGTTTTGACAGGGCAGGTTAAGAATCAGAAAATCACAGAATATCTCTAGTTGGATAGGACCCACAAGGTTCAATGAGTCTAACTCCTGACCCTCAACATAATCACCCCAAGAATCACACCATGTGCCTGAGAGCATTGTCCACGTGGACAAAGAGATTAACGAGATCTCCCACCCCACCCCTCTTGTTTCTGGTCTGCCTTTTTTGCCTCAAGATGCCTTGGATAGTACAACATTGTTGTATTTACAATCAGGTTGGGGGTTGAGATGTTTACAGAAAATATGCTCAACAAGAAGACAAAAATGTTTTAATGAAGTGTGGCTATTCACTATTTAAATTTTTTTTCTCTTACAGTTTGAGGGTGGCTCTGGTTATGGTAAGTATTTATATCGAACGTTTTCCTGTACTTCAGTGTGTAGTTACTAAAGGGCTTGATGCATACGCTTAAATCAGATTATTCTTACGCAGGGGGACGTGGTTCATATGGAGATCTTGGTGGACCCATCATCACAACACAAGTAACGATTCCCAAAGATGTAAGTGAAGTTGACTTGTTTCCAGCTTGTGCTCTCTTAAAAAAAAAGTCACAGCCACTTCTGATTTACTTAAACAGTCTAAGAAGTATTTAGAGTGTTTAATAAGTACTTCTAATAGAAAACAAGTGTTTCTGTGTCACCAAAAGTCTATTCTATGAGTGTTTGGTTTGTGTCTTCTGTTCAGAGACACACTAAACAATTTTACTAATGGTTAATACTTGGTAATAGAGATGGTCTGTGTAACTTGTTCTTTGCAAGTGAGCAGCCACTTCTGGCCACTTTTATCCCACCTGTGTTTATACAACTGATACTGCAGGGAAAATGTTTCTAGGATGTAAAGAAGCAAGCTTGCATTGCAGCTCTTAAAACTAAATTTGTGGAAACTACTCAAACACTGCTGTGATTCTCTGACTGTATTTAAGGAGAAAGCTGTATCAGGAAATGAATTGTTTCCTTTCTTCCCTAGTTGGCAGGATCTATCATTGGAAAGGGAGGCCAGAGAATCAAACAAATACGTCATGAGTCAGGAGCTTCGATCAAAATTGATGAACCGTTGGAAGGCTCAGAAGATCGGATAATAACTATTACAGGAACACAGGACCAGATACAA